TTTTCTTTTTCTCTCCCTTTTTCCCCCCCTCCTTTTTATTTATTTTTTTTTCTCTCCTTTCAGGTAATTTTTTTCCTTTTAATTTTTTTTTCTTCCCTTTATTCCCCTCCTTTTTTTTTTCCCTTTTTAATTCCACCCTCCCTCTCTCTTCCTCTCTCCCTCCCTCCCTCTCCCTCTCTCCCTCCCTGGGCCGGCCCGCCTTGCACAACCAGGAGCTCGGACAAGAAAGGGCCGTTTCTCCGGGGTGCAGCGGGACGTGCCAGCCGGTACGGCCGGGCCGCGCAGGGAGGCGGCAGCTGCAGCCCGGCCCTCCCTCAATGCCGCCTTGTTCTGCCCCGGCCTCCGCGCAGCAGCGCGGCCGCGCAGCGCAGCTCCGCGGGCTCCTGCGGGGGGATGCGCCCGGTGTCGGGGGAAGGGGGGGGGGCGGGCTAATTTCCTGTGAAATGAGAGAGAAACTTGTCAGCGGGGACCGGGAGAAGAGGAGAGTCTCTGTTGGCCTTCAAAGAGAGGAGAGAGGGAGGGAAGAGAGCGGGATTCTTTCTCCTTGCGCCCCCCCCCCCCCCTTTCTTCTTTTTTTTTTTCTCTTTTTTTTTTTTTTTTTCCAGAATAGATATAGCACGAATTTTTAATTCGCCTCCCTTTCACAGACAACAATGCCGGGTTTGAAAGCTGGGCACAATTTGGGTTTTGTGAGGGGTCCCCGGCCCAGCTGGCCATATGGGATACAACATGTAGAACATGCCGAACAATGAGCGCGAGTGACAGCCCGAACAAAACGCGGAGGACACTGCTCCCTGACTCCGCGCTCCGCATCAATGCCGTGCCCCCAAAACAGGCGTGGGGGGGAAGGCGAAGGGAGGGAAGGCACAGGGAGGGCGTCCCCCCCCCCCCATTCGCTCCCGTACCGTCTCTCCCGTTTTTCCCCCGGCTCCTTTGGCTCCTTTGGCTCCGGCTCGTTAATATGCACGCCTCTAACATGCTCACCTCCCTGCCTCCCCCATTGTGCTGCTCTCTGAAGTCTACTGTATATTGTGCAAAGATAGACTGGCCCGGCAGCATGGGAGATATAAGGCCACGGAGGTTAGGGCCACACAACTGGTTTGATAGACTCAGCAAGAGCCCGAGGGGAAAGGGAAGGGAAAAAAAAAAAAAAAAAAAAAAAAAAAAAGGGGGGAAGGGGGGAAAAAAAAAGAAAGAAAAAAACGAGTGGGGAAAAAAATATTAATAATAAAAAAAAATATAAGGAAGAAACAAAATGTGACCCTTTTCCTTCTCTCCGCTCCCGGCTCGCGCACTGGGCTCGGTGGGAGAAGGGAAAACCGGCACTTGCCCGTGTGTCCCCCGCGGGTCCCGGACCCCGGTGGAGCCTCCCCCGGGCTGGGGAGCGGCTGCCCCGGGGAAGGGCCGCGGCTGCTCCGCCGGTGCGCGGAGCCTCGGTGGGCTGGGGACGGGAGGCGGGAGAAGGAGGAAGGAGAAAAGAGGGGGAGGAAAAAAGAAAAACGAGGAAAAGGACAAAAACCCGAGCGCAGCGCGGAGGCTGCGGGGGTGGGGGATCCGTGGCCGGCGGAGGCTGCGCCGGGGCAGAGAGGGCACGGCGGGGCCGGGGGGGTTGGATGGCCGGGATGTTGCAGGATCGGGAGCGCTGCGAGGCCGGGATGCTGCGGGCCGGGATTTGGCAGGAGCGGGATGCTGCGGACCGGGATTTGGCAGGAGCGGGATGCTGCGGGCCGGTACCGATCGCCTCTCTGGCGTTGAACTGCCCCGTCCTGGCCGGGCTCAGCCCCGCGGGACGGGGCGGGCGCTGCCCCGGCCCCAAGACTCCGGACAAAAGCTTGTTTGGTTTTCTTTTCGCTTTTTTAAAGCATCTTTACCGGCCTAAAAGCCGCAGGGGAGGGCGGAGGAAACCAGTGCTCTGCCCCGACCCGCTCCGAGCCGGGGCTGCGCCTGCCCGGTCCCGCTTACATCCCGGCCGAGCTGCCCAGCCCCGCCTCGCCTCTCTCCTCTCCCCTCCTACGATTTTTTGGGGGGGGTTCTCCCGTTGTTAACCCTTTCCCCAGCCCTGCCTGGGCCACCGGCGCATCCCCGAGGGCTGACCCCAAAGTTTCCGCGCTCCTTCCCGTTCGCAGGGCCCTCAGCCCGGGGAAGGGTCGCCGAGTGATGCCGGTACCCAAAGCTCAGCAGCACCGGGGGTGGCACTGGCGTGTAGAAAGGCACAATCACTGATAGAAAATGTGAAAACAGAAATTCTTCCCACTCCCGTTTTTTTCGACAGCGGGTTAAAGCCGACTGACCCCCCAAAAAAGCCGCTCTCCCCAGGAAAAAAAACCAAAAAAAAAAAAAAAAAAAGGAAAGAAAAACCAGAGAGAAGTTGGGCTGGTGGAGGGGTCTGCGTGGGGCCCTGCTCGGCCGTGTCTCCCGTGGGGGCCCGGCTGGCCCCACGCAGGGCTGAGCCGGGCGATGCAGGCAGGAGGCGGCGGCCGCAACGAGAATTCGAACAAAACCGTTCCGTCGTTGTTATCGTTTCCTTCTCCATCATTTTTTTTTTTTCTTGAAACACAGTTGTTTTTGTTTTTTTTTTTAAAAAATTCCAATCCGTATTAAATCGCGGGGAGCCCGGGGATCCGCACAACGAGCCGCTCTCCGGGCGGGGAGGGCTCCGCCGTCCGCGGGTCTTTTTCCTCCGCTCGGGAATAGTTGAGACAAGCCCCAAACGGGAGAAAGCGAACCGACCGCCCCGGCTGCGGCTCGCGGCAGCGACAATCACAACGAGGTGGAAAAACGGCCCCGTTAGTAGTTGTCGGGGCCGCAAATCGTGCTCGGAGGGGAGCGATGAATCTCCCCGTTCTGGGGTGCCCCGCTCGGCGGCCGCACCCCCGTTCCTCACAAAATCACAGGAGCAGCGGGGGGGTTTTATTCTTTATTTTTTTTTTTTTTTTTTTTAATTTTGACGATCCCCCCCCCCCCACTTCCTCTTTTATTTTAGTTGTAGGTAGACAGGACCACTCTGAATGGCGCAAAAAATTTCTGTAAACAATGACGCACAAAAAACACCTCCCCTCCCTTCCCCCCCCGCCTCCCCCCGAAATGAAACCGAGCCCCCCCCCCCAAAAAAAAATGGAGGGGAAAAGAAACGGCAGAGGGAAAAAAACCATAATAATAATAATAATAGCAATAATAATAATAATAGCAATAATAATAATAATAATAGCGTTTCCCTCTCCATTCCTTCCCCCGCAGTTTCGATTTTATTTTTGGAGCATCAGTCTGTCTCCTCCTCTCTCTCTCTCTTTATTATTTTTGTTTTCTCCTCCTTTTTTTTTTTTTTTTTTTTTTTTTTTTTTTGGTTGTGCGGGTGTGGGGGAAGCGTGTGCGGGTGTGAGCGCTCCCCGGCAGCCTTCACCAAGTCCATTGCTGAGCCTGTACCAAATGGTGTGCTGTGGGGTACTGGGGGTTGCTGGTCGCGCTGTACTGGGCGTTGTATTGCATATGCTGTAGAGACTGGGCGCTATAGGCGGAGAAGGGGATTCCCGTCTGGAAAGTCGCGGCTGCCAAGTCCTGAGCTTTGAGCGTGTGGCAGGGCTTGCCGTCCCTGACTAAGACCGGCACGGCCACCCGCCGCGGGGAGGGAAGAGGAGTCACTTCCATACCTTTCTCGGCCCGGGCCCGCTTCATCTTGTAGCGATGGTTCTGGAACCAGATCTTCACCTGGGTGGGGGTGAGGCGGATCAGGCTGGCCAGGTGCTCCCGCTCGGGCGCCGACAGGTACCGCTGCTGCCGGAACCGCCGCTCCAGCTCGTAGGTCTGCGCCTTGGAGAAGAGCACCCTCCTCTTCCTCTTCTTCCCCGCGTCCCCGCCGCCCGCCGCTTCCTTCTCGTTGTCGGGCGACTCGTCGGCCGACGGCTCCGGTGACTTGGCCGAGGGGTCCTGGCCGCCGCCGCCGGCCGCCAGCCCGTGCACTGCGGACAGTCAGCGCCCGGTCAGCGGGGAAAGGGCCGCAGGGGTCCATCCGCCGCCCCCCCGCATCCCTCCGCCGCCCTCGCATCGCTCCCGCCGCACCCCGCATCCCTCCCGGCCGGGGCGGGGATGGAGGCACCGGCCGGGGCTCGGCCAGCCGCCGAGAGAGGCAAGTCCCCCCCATCCACCCTTCGTCGTCCCCCGACACCCGCCCCGCCGCCGGGGGCAGCTGGAAGCGGCGCTGCCCCGTCCGTGTGGGGGGACACGGAGGAACCGGCCGGGGCGAGCGCCGACCCCCCCATCCATCCCGCACCCACCCCGCATCCACCCCCCGGCACTCCCCAGGGCCCCCCACGGCCCCCGGTCCCCCGCGGCCCCGTCCCCCGGCACTCACGGGAGTACTGGATGCCCTCGGCGCTCGCCAGCCAGCGCGTGTAGGGATTATCGCTGTTATCATAGAAAGGGCTCTTCAAAGGCAGCGTCGGAACAGTGTCCAAGGGGGTTTGTCCCAAAACTCCCGCTTTCCTGGGCGGCTCGGGCGCCTCGCTCTCTTCCTCGCCGCCCTCCGCCGAGCCGTCCTCATCGTTGGTGTCGGGGAGGTCCAAAATGTCCTTCACCGAGAAGCCCGTCTTTGTGTTGGTCAGAGACATGTTCCGGGCCAAATTTCGGCTGGGAAAGTTGGAGCCGCAGCTCGGCCGAGCCGCCGTGTCACGGGTGGGCGCGCACACGCGGAGCGGCGGCAACGACAGCGCGCAGGGACGCGGGGAGGGGGGGGCCGGCACGCGTGGAGATGGGGGAAAAAAATAGAATAATACAGATTTATAGAAAAATAAGCGTAGGGGGTTGTGCGAGAGAAGCGGCCGCAGCGACGGGTCTCTGCGGTGATGGTTGTTCTGCCACGGGGGAAAATTCCGAGAGCGGGAGCAGCAGCTGGCTTCGGGAATAGTTTGTAACTCCAGGGGGAAAG